ATGGATAAAGATACGTGTCTGAACAAAGAGGGCAACTGAGACAGATATTTTGAGTAATTGCTAACAAAGGAAATACCGTACCAAAATGTGTGAATACAAAGATGTGGATTTGGCTGAAAACAAGAATGTCATAGGAAATAATTTGAAGGAATGCAGAATTGAATGAGTCATAATATTAGGAACATTTGTTTACAATAAGAAATTTATTTGATTATTTATTTGTATGGTTGAAGTTTCGCGAATCGAAATTTGCGACACAAACAAGTAACAAATAAATTGTTCAGTAGTGAAATAGTGATAGTGAAAATTGTTCAATAGTTAATTTGTTAATTTGCTGGAACATTAAAAGTGCGTTTTATTAGTTCATTTAAATAGGTTACATTTGCTTAGAAAAATCTTTCACTAATTCCAGAAATTCCGAAAGAAAGATTACCCATTTAATTCTATTTCTCTTTGAAAGATTTTTATGGTCTCTTCGTAACCAGTTTATCCAAATTTAGTAAATCGATTTACAACTAATTCATCTTTATTCAGTTCATTTTATCCGACATCGTAATCCCTCAATATTAAAACAATGCGGTTACCAGAATATCCGTTGATTGTATGGCTCACAAAACTATGTATCTTCACTCAAGGTTAGAAATTCCTATCCAGTGTTTAAATTGCATCAATATTTGATTTGCTCCCGTACAAAATTCCTGATAAATCAATTTTCTAATTTATAAACATGCTAAAATTTTGGTATTTAACATCATATGTTCGTATTTTCTTTAAAAGCTGAATTCTTATATAATTTCATTGTCTTCATTGTTTTGTTTAAAAGGTATTTAGTCTTTTAGTTACGTTACTCTTATTACATTTGTTTATAGATTTGAAATCATTTGAATGACTTCAATCTCATTTCAGTTATAAGGAGTGAAACTTCAATAGGTTCGGATACATGTATTGATTTAGATCCGAAATGTGTAGACTGGGCAAATCGGGGTAATGTCAAAGTAATCCTGTTTGGTAGGTCTGTGTATCAATACGTTTTACATTTAATTGACAAATCTTTTTGGAATTAACTAAATTTCAATATCGTCAATGAATATGCTTTCTTCTCTAAGACTGCTTCAATTGTTGTGAAATGTTTTTTAAACTGCAGTATTAGTTCAGCTGGAAAAATTCTGTTTCTTGGAATTTTCCTATATTGACAGAATGATGGCAAATTGTCGAATATCGTACCGTAGCTGTCAAGGAGGTGATAGGGCGTGGAGATTACGAGATTATATCGCTTCACATTATGACAATACTATAAATTTAAACATATCACGTATAGTTAGCGTTGAAAGCATCCGTATCAATCACATTGATGTGGTACAATTCATTGTTCTTAAAACTTTTTTTTTTATATTTGTTGAAAATGAGAGCGATTAAAATCATTCAGACGGCATTGTTGTTCATATTCAGGATGAAGAGAAACAGATAGTTCGAGCATATGGAAGAATGGTTCTGGTAAGTTATCATTTCACTCATCATCTTAACATCGATTGACCTTTAGAGTTCTTATGCTTATTCAGATAAATACTTGAAATAATTCATTTTGTAAATAATGTATTAATACTATCCCATGAAATAAAGAGTTGGAACGATACGAAAGTGGCATGGGATCGCAATCAGTGGGAGCTATCATGGTTAAACTTTTACTGGATCCAGATTTGGACCCCTCAACTCATACAAATAAATCCGTTAGTGCCTGGATTTTTTACAGTTTCCGAGATCACAGTATCTTGATAAAGATCACAAATTAAAGAATTACCCGTTTTAATACCTGATAATAATTAAGGCATCGAAAAATAACGGAAAATACAACAAAAATTTACATTTTCAGAACATCAATAAATCCAGGAACCAAGGTGAACAAAGTGCTCGCAGCAAACTATACCGGTCAAGTGTACACGTGGTTGGATTTTTCGTTTGTAGCTCCCTACAATTTCCGATATGAAGATTATCCAAATGATTACCAACAGGTGTGCTTCAAATTTGATGATAAGCAATATTTCTCTGTGAGATTTATTATTGCTGACAAAGTTAAATCGAAGAAACGTGAAGAACTTACCGAAACTTACGCTACTGGCGGACTCTTGAAAATGTTGAAATCACCGTAAGCCCTACATCATTTATGATTATCATTTTCATGGTCATGGATAAATGAACTTTGATTATCGACATCACACGCTTTTTTATTCAAAATTCTCCCCACGCATACACACACAGCAGTTAACTATCGAAGATAGCTTGCTTGTTTTCTGAACCGTAGGATAACTCCAAAATTTCAGGATAGCAAATATTCAAATGCTTGGCAACTGGCGAGACGACCCGTTCGACGTCCAATCATTAAATAGTGAATTGTGCTTGGGTTTACGTCGTAATGCTGTGTACTTTACGACGGAAATGTTGTTACCAGCTCTTATAACATCGATTATCACCATATCTGTGCTGTTCCAACTATCGACAGTCCAGCCGGTGCTAATAGCATTATATATCTTGGCTCAGATTATCGCCTTGACTCTTATTAATAGCCGCTTACCGACATTTGCGATCCATACGCCAACCATACGTTCGTTTTATTTTCTTTTGAAAATTAAGGTTTCGCAAAGCATCTTTGTAATTTTAATTTCAATCATTTCTGGAGAAAATAAATATCATTCGTCATTTTTAATTAACTTTTCAGATCTGAATACTAGAACTTGCAAGAATTTCAAACATTTTGAATTCGCATGATAGCATAACAAAGGAGACTATGAAAAAAGAAAATATAGTAGTCTGATTACGAATGAATCATTATTTAAAAATTCATGTTTCCAGTAAAATATATTAGATTCAACCTCATCTCATCAATATTTCTTCTCTTGACTTCAATGATTTTATGGAGGTTATCACAGTCTAACACTACCATACCACCACATCACTCACTGAATCAATTCGCGTAATTTATTAATAATAGGATTGCTCTACCACTGTCCAGTGAGGAGGTCAACGAGAACTCACAGCGGAAGTATGCTCCATTGGCATATGCTCTCAACAACCTGACATTTTTGATTTTTCTGGCTCTTTACTTCGTAGTTTTTGTTGGATCATTTTGTAGCTAGAAATTTTGAATGACAAATGCCCACGATGTGTTTAGATATTCATGAATCAATGAATAGTTATCAGTTCCGGATGATTTCGTAAAAATTAGGAAAGACTGGATAGCTAATATCAGTACCAGCGATTTACAGCCACAGTTCATTGCCATTAAAAATAATTAGTAAGTAAACCGGAAGTGCTACTTTTGGAGTAATGACGCTAAAAGGATGACTTCAACTATCAGGTGTAACCAACCAGATTTGGCTTCAGTCACAATATATTAGAAATTTCAATCCTTGACATATACATCCGAATTAGAACATAGAAGATAAGATCTTTATTAGATTTCTCGAATTTTCTTAGGCCACAAACCTAGTTTTCCCACCTCACACCTATAAAAACAACCAGAAGATCGAAATGGTGTACTTCGAATGGTTCAATACAGCTAACATATAATCACAAGACATGGCCATATGCAAATGTGACAAAGTATCAGCTCGTCTCACAAGAGGTATTCATGAGTAGTAGGGCAATATATGAACATATATTGCCCTACTACCCACGAATACCTCTTGAGCTTCAACACTTTCTGGCCTAAGAGTTCCAGAACTTGACTTCGTGAAATTTCGTACTATCAGGATTCTGGAAGAAAATAATGGATGACGGGAAAAAGATCCTGGAATATTCCACTTCCTATTAAATTAAGTAATTGAAAGATTCAAAGCGCAGTGAAGTATAAATTTGGACATTTCGACAACAAAAATTTCTATGTTTTTATGTTCGTCACAGAACAAAAGTGTGCATGAAAATCTATATGTTGTTAATTGTGTAAAGTGCTTCACAGACACTAAGACACGCGATAATATCTGGCATAAAAAGAATGTCGAAGGATGTCCAGCAATAGCAAGACTGTAACAGGAGTAACTTACCTCTGGTGAATTCCCAGACCTGAATCACTTCTAAAAAACCTTAACAAAGAGGCAAATTTGTAATGAAAATTAACTCGTATGTCATTTCGAGAAATACTGTTTAGCCAATCGAAGTTCTGCACTCTGTAAACACTGAAATTAGCAACCGAAAATTTTGGCAACTTCGCTATGGAATCGTAAAAATGCAGTGGTAGGAACAACAAAATGAATCAAGTGAAAAAAAGAAAGGGTGGATAGAAAAAATTACTTGCCAAAATATTAGCTGATGATGAACACAAACAAACCTGATCCGTACCCTTCATATGTGAACGGCAAAACTACGAAATAAAAAACGCGTTGTTCCAGAATATCAGCATGTATAGTAACAAAGTGTTTGCTCAAAATAACAGCGGAATTCAAATCAAACAAGTGTGGTAGTGCGATGTCATTCAGAAAGACCTTGAAAAAACGTGTAAATTACGAATAGATTTTCGAAATATAAAATGTTCCAAAATCTCATTTGAATTGAATTTTAGCCAGCATAACAATAAAAGCAAACTTCATAATTAACGATGTCCGTAAGCAGACAGAAATTCAACTTGCCGTTATACAGATTTGTTGTTGGTCAAGCAAATTATTAGCAACAGAGTAAATCCGTACATAGGCCGGAGAATGAAATATGCAAATCAGTAGGCATTTCGAATTTTTTTTCGAAAGTAAAGAATTTCATAATATTCTTGTCAAAAAACATCACGGTCATTTAGAACCGAAATTTTGTCAAAAAATATAACAGAAAGAATAGTACTAACTCAAGAAATCATTAAACAATCATATGAATTTATGTATGAATGAGTATACGAATAAATATCGGTTAAACACAACGTAGCAATATTCATAGCGATTCATTTTTGAAACTTTAACTTTATAGTTGGAATTGGACAGGATAAACCTAATGTATAAAACCATTAAGTACTATCAAACAATCACCAGAAAGACTACGTAGCTAATTAATGATTGTTTTTACTAACCAACTCTCCACTTCCGCTTAGTAAAGTCTCAAATTCCAAGAAATGCCAAATCTTGAAATACAAAAATGCTATTTCTGAAAGATCACAATCATAAAATCTGCAGATCAAAACTGATGCAAAAGAATAAATAACTTTAAGAAAACTCTATTTAAACATGAAGCATCATAAAAGTTGTGCAACTGCTTCAAGCATCAAATTTACTTACTGAATGTATATCTATGAAGTCATTTTTAAATTAATAACTATCAAGGACAGTAGTTAATTTTGTTCAACATATGAAAATACTCAACATAGAAACTTACCAAAATAGAAATATAGAAATAAAGAGAAAGGTGAAATAATTACAGCGTTGTACGCAATAAACCAAAGAAAAACTGATACTTGACAGAAATTTCACAGCTAAAACAGTTGTAGGGATCAAAAAAGTAGCATAGAATACAGCTGGTGAATTAACCCCCATTGGGAGTCTCAGGTGAGGCCTTTAGGGCCAGTGCAAATAACAGATGGCCACATTCAGGTGTCAATAAGGTTATATTGCGTGCGCAGGCCTGAATTAATCGATCAGCCATATTACTAGCAGCAAAAACATACAATACACCGTTGGGTACAGTGACAACACCGGCAGCATCTTTCTCGGAAAGATAATTAACGAGTGGTCGAATGGGCTTATCACATGCTACAGCAATCATTAAGCTAAGCTGCTTCTTTGATGAGTGAATTAATCGTTCCTCAAGTGCTTCCTGACTAACCAATGGTAACCGTTGAGTAATATGCAGCTTCAATGCGCTACCATCCGACGGATCACGAAGTAACTTTTGAAGTAGATGTTCGGTTCCCGAGATACGATGCAAACGAATCGCGTATTCAGTTTTTTTCAGGATAATGAAACCTTGCCAAGTTGGCGCAATTCTTCGTTCCAGCTCATCAATGGTATCGATTTCACCATCAGACGGTGTACTTGATGGACTTTCAGGTGGCGTACGTGGACCTTTGTTACGCTTTCTCGACCCGGCAGACGTACTCCGTCGCCTTTTTCGGTCTTCTTTTTGGTCATCTCTACAAAGAGCAACTTCATATTCAAATATTCACGCATAATTACGAATCCTCATTTATTGAAATATAGGACCCAAAGAAATATAAGAAATGACGAACTTGGCGAAGTCAACGATAATGCATCGGTCTCTTCCACCCAATGGGAAACCTTTCATGGCACGGCAAGCGTCCATTGCTGCATTCTGATCCGTAAATCGTATATATGCAAAGTCAGCACCTTCTTCATAGTCTAACCGATCAATAAGCCCATATCGATCAAATTCCTACAAAACTAGAATCATTTCACAACTTCTTCTGAACCCATTTATAACTAAAGTTGGCAATGGTCTATAAAACCCGAATATTCAAAGGACGAAATGCTATAGCATTTAACGCATGGCTAGGGCATTTGAAATTCATCCATTACATAAAGGTGCAAAAAATCCAGTTAAGAATTACCGAGACTATTTAAAATGTCATTAATTTTGAAAACGGAAACTGAAAAAAGTGCCTTAGCCAAGTATTCTGCAGATGTCCAAGGTCCTAGCCCACCGATCCATAAACGGTTTGATGGCTGTGATTTGCCATATCCGATTTTACAACGAGTTGTTCCTGCCCGTATTGGACGGTCATGTTCATTGGCTTTTGCATTCATAGACTGTTCCAAAGTCTGCAAAAACACCAAAGCTATGATTCACATAATTAATATAACTGCTTCATCATCCAACTAGTGCATGACCGCACCAATCTTTTTTTTGAAATCCTAAATACCATTTATCAAATAACTAAGTACTACTTTCTAAAGCCAGCTACTATTTTCATAATCCCTAAAAGCATTTACAAAATGTATTCACATAAAGAATAATAAATATGAAAGAATAAGCCTCAGTTTCTCGCAAAAACCCACTTGGAAAAGAACGAAAGCATATGCAGCATTAGTTTCTGGAGGTGTTTTGATATCAACATCTTCAACTTTTCCATATTTCTCAAAAACACGACGAATTTCTGACTCCCGTATATCTGCTGGCATATTTCCCACAAAAAGTGTTCTTGTTGCATCACTGTCATCTTCTTTCAAATTCCATGTTCCCCCATCTTCACGACGTCTGTTTGGAGATTTCCTAAAGACAGCATTTCTTTACATAATCAATTATTAAACAAATCCTGTCAAGAAGCTTATTACCTTCTTAGAGGATCCTTTCGTTCACGCTCACGTTCAGCTTGCAATGCTCGATTATATCTATCAGGAATATACTTTCCTTCTTGATCTCTGATTATTCCTGCAGGATCAAGATGAAGTCTCTTTCCAAGTAATTTCTGCAACCTTGGTAACATCGTATGTCGAATTGTTCGCGCCGCCTCTGGACGCTCGAAATTTACGTAAGCAAGGCGCTGCTCGTCACCAGGATTACGCACTATTTTTATCTACAAATTAGTTTGCATTTAAGGACATAAAATTGAAAAGGAACACAGTGATATCTAACTACTTCTAAATACATATAAGTACATGTACAAATATAACTAATAAAGATCCCATCCAGTTTTTGGCAAGTTAATGAAGTAAGCATATATTCAAAGGATCGTTCACCTCAAATGGAGCATATCGACGGAATTCACGTTCCAAGATATCTTTAATTTCGTCCTTAGTAATTTTGTTGTCAAAATGCGAAAAACGAAGATTCATATACTCTTCCGGGGAATGACTACCAAATCGGTCTCTAGATCAAAGAGAAAAACAAATATATGCAACATACCTGATTTACAAAATTAATTTCATAATGCAAATATTGTTCAACAAAGGCGGCTGGAATTTATTAAGCTATCAAAGATGAAATAAAGCTGAATGTTCCGAAATCATACTGTGAAAAGTAAAAAACGCACGAACACATCCTGCTATTTTGAAGGAATTTTGGTGCTTGGACTAATAATTTGTCGTCAGTGAATCTTTAAGGTAAATTGGCTACGCCATCAACCTTAGTCCTATTCGTTACAATACGCCTCCTTAATTAGAAATGAAATTCAATATAGGACCAAAATTAATTTACAATACGAATTCGATCGGAAGTCATATACACATACAAGTCACCATCTCATCGTGGAAAAATAAAGTCCAAGAAAGGTTATTTCTTGCTTTATCTTTTAACATAAAATACCATATTTAACCTGTAAAAAGAGGATAGATTTGCATCTGGATCACCACTATTTTCACGTCGAAACGACAGTCGTTGAACAGGCCTGGACTGCCTACCATTAGCGTTATACGCTGCACCACGTTGACCACGCCCATCACGGCCGCCACTGTACCTTGTTCCCATTTCTGGAAAGAAGCTGTTTAAGGCCTAGAGAACAGTGTGCAGTTTGGTTTAAGCAAGCGACGAAAAGATAGCATAATTTCGAACACATGGGAATGCAGGGACATAGCCAGTCAACATTTTCTGACCTGAGAGGTTGGAGTTCATTGAAAAGTAACAGCGACCCCACTGTCTCACTCCACTGTTCCAGAGGATTTCTTCTCCTTTTGTCTCTTCCATCATATCGCCAATCTCTACACTAACACAAGATGAAAGTAAGTAAAGCAATTTCAAAAACTATCTGATGTTCACAAAATTTCCTATTCAATGTCTTTGCTATTCATTTCTTAGTATTTCTTCATTAGCTAACGCTATTTCGTCTCCAACTTTCGTACCAATCCTGGCATCTCTTCACTAATATCAATCCTCTTTTGCTTGCAATCTGTAGCACAGTAAGGGTACACGGAAACTAGCACATCCTCTCACCCCTTTCATATCCACTATCCACCAATCTATGTTCCTCCTCTCCTTCCCTCCACACTCAATATCTACCGAACCGCGACCAAAACCGCCTTGTATCATATCACATGGATAAACACTCACTTTGCAATAGCGTGTCCCGACTAGCCCATAGAAATATTTCATTCATATCGAACTACATCTATCTGGTGCTGTGTGGTTTGATATTCATTATTTTTACAGTTATTTCATGCGTCTAGAAATGTGTCTCTAAAAAAGTTCAAGGCTTAACAAATAAAATGCAAGTTAATAGCAGCTTTCGCTTGACAACAGTTCCAAAGTCTGCAGTGCGTTTTATCGCATAAAAAAGTGCTTCGATCCAATTTCCCAGTGGATAAACAGAAATTATTTAAGGGTAACAAACAGGATCGTTTTATAAATTTCCTAATTAATATGTGTCAGTTAATTACAGAAGTTGAGTCAGTCGAAGTTATATTAACAGCTGCGAAAAGTGTTTTAAAATACATAAAATTGTATTTCCTTTCTAAAAGGTTTGAAAAACCTTTCGACAAAATATTTTAACTTTCGTTATAAAAATGTGCGCGGCGGTGTTATTTGCAGTAATAGATATGTCAATAAATACTCGGCCTTTTTGAATTTAATAGCCGAGGGTAGCAAAATATTAATTCAACTATTTTCAAATGACCCCTATATTATGCATTGATTACGGATTCAATTTGCAAATAAACTACGACAAATGATAAAAATAATCAAATTGCTGTCATTTGGCTTATTATAAACTCAGTTTTCATTCTTATCACTTCATCCTTCTTTCTTCTCTCCGAAAAAGTTTTATTTCACTGAAATTTTCCAAAACACAATAGGAATAATGTGTAAATGATTTCGACATAAGAGAAGTTCTGTAGATAGCGATATCGGGAGAAACCGGTGGTGAAATGAGAGCGAAACTGTGACTTAGAATGCATCTGCGTCGGGAGTCATCTTGGCCTGACAGGATAAGGAGTTCAATGCCAAACCAAAACTTATATTTAAATAAGTGAAGAACAAGATTGGAAAAAGGATTGATCAGAGCACAGTTGACTGTACTGAACGTATAAAAGCGGACGAACTGTGACTTAGAATTAAATGGGATGAAAATTGTAACGTCCGGTCCAGTTCCATCCGTTTACATTTGTAGCGTCGATTTTGGAACCAAATTTTGACTTGTGTGGGAGTAAGTCCCAATGTCACTGCCAGTCGTTCTCGTTCTGCTGCATTCACGTATCGCTGCAATTTGAAACGCTCTTCCAGCTCACTCACCTGAAATTCAATTGCTCATCTCCGTCATTTGCCGGTAGAGGAAGGAAGGGCTTTTGACCTGTTCTGTTTCATCTGGCCTATCAATTGCTAAATAAGTCAAAAATTACTTTCTGTCGATAACGCAGGTGTGTACGTATGCATTCATAGAATAAATAATACACACAAAATCAACAATTTATGAGACCCACCTGAGATTGGGTAAATAAAATGCGAGGCTTTCGTCGCGTCTGCTGCGATCGGAGCCGTACAGAAAATTTTGGGTCGCCATTGCTGTCGCAAGGGTTAGCTATCAAATCGAATCGCGAGTCAGTGTGCATGTCTGGATTTGTACGGTACAAAATTTTTAAAATTTTTACTCAGTTCAAATTCAGCAAATTGAAATACATTGACGGAAGTAAGTGCTGTTCAAGCTTTTTTTATAAATGTTTTATATGGAATTGGAATTAGAAAATCATATCTTAATATTCACTAAGTTACTTGAAACTCTAACGTAACAGTGAATCATTCCCAAACCGTTTCCTTTTCGAAATTTCACGCTGACGGTTAAGTAAACCAATCGATAATTCATAAAGTTATAGATTAGTGATGAACACTTACTTAAATATGTATAAAGTGCAAATTGCGGTACGACAGTAGTGGATGGTAAACGTTCAGAGAAACCCAAATACTGCATACCATCCGTCGAGGTTAGTTGTTCCAACGAGAAGTTCGGTGTTGGGAACACGGAAGATGGTACGTTTGGAATTGTTGGCAATGATGAAAACGTCGTGCTGTTCGCTGTCGGTAAACTCCACGGGAATCCGAACGTTGGCATTCGGGTACTAGGTACTGATACTGAGTTATTCCTTTGATTTACTGCATGCAACTCCGGTTTTCTGGACATGCAAGACTCCGGATAATGAGCAGACCAACGATGAGGTTGTTGAGCCGGATTTTGGATTAAATTTGTCGGTTGATGATGCTGATGATATATAGCCATTAATGGGGAGTTCGATGATTGAAATCATTGAATCCAATTGATGCAAGTGATGAGAGGCGCGCTTCGTGCCTTTAAAAGATTCTCACGCGGCTAATTTCTACCTTGAAGTGATTTTTTAGTCCTCTTCTTCATGAGGGACATCAGGAAATAGTGTGTCAAAGAGAGTGAGAGGAAAACGGGTTCTAATGGCTTCCGAGGTAATGCGAATAGATGTTACGGTACTGAAGTGTATTTACATAGTTAGCCAATCAGCGGTGCTCACTTCGAGGAGTTCGGAGCACGAAAATTGGAAAATGAGAAGCGAAGAGGGCAATAAAGGAGAAATGGATTGCATTACACACTTAAATGTGCCTTTCCTTGAATTTTGAACCTTTGTATCAATTTTCATTATCCTTCAAACAATCTACCAAAACATAATCTCTCTCTTGATTCTATCTTCCTTCTTATCATAAGCATCTTTGAAATTGCTGATATAAACAGAAAGGATGGGTCGATCATCCATTATATGATGTGGAACATTATATGATCGTTACTTTTTAAATTTTCCATTGTTTTAATTCCCATCCTCAAATAATTCACTCTCTAAATTCAACGATCTTTGCCTGTGTAAATGTATCAAATTTACATGTCGCACATACTTTCCTTTGCTGCAAAAAAAATTATTTTGCAATTATACTTAAATAATTACACAAAAAATGATTTGCTATACAGTTTATCGTCGGCAAAAAGGTCATTCATGCTATATATGAATGACTTTTGCATCAACGATAAACAGTGAATAATATCTTTAAATGATATTCCTCTTCTAACAGTATTATCAATCGATCAATTACTATTAATAGAAAGCAACAAATGAGAATATAGCACGACTCTTTTTAGCAAACTAAGCAATGAAAATTTGAATAGCTTGAAAAGATTTTAGAAAATTGACAAGTCCAATCAGCGTAAGTGGACAGGCAATGTAGAATACTCAACTGTAAAAGAAAAATGAAGAATCTACAATGTGAAAAATAAAAAATATTGCTTAGTGAAGTCACTTTCACTTTTCGAATTTTGAATGGCCACGGACGATTAATCAAAAAAATATGCGTTAATGTGAAGAAGCTTCGATAATAGTGTGACCATTTCGATTTGAAAAGACACTGATTTCAAACGATCAGCCAATTGAATATGAAAATTAAAATATATAAGTTAGCTTATCGAACAGTACCTAACACCTATTCATGCATTATTTTACTAAAGATGATCGACGTTTAGCAGTTCTCGAATTTCACCGCTTCTGCGGACAGTGTCCACTATATTTCTTATGATATGTGACAGATATCGATGTGTCTCTTCAACACATGTTCGCATTTTGTATTCGTCAGTTTTTTAACAATAAATTTTTCATAAAACGTTGCGCCCTTCACTAAGGAAAATCACCGTTGTAGCTGTTAAAACTAACAAATCTTTCGTTGGAAGACGAAAATCGTACAATTTTGTGATTGAAATAAATGAAAAAATTGCCAACAAACTGGAAAACCAAATGGCCAACCATATTTTGGTTCTCCGAGGTAAATAATGTACACGAAATGCTTTGGGTGAATGTACTCCGTTATGTCACGCCAGGCATATCCCTTGCGATTAAAAAAATTCCATTCAATTTTACAATTCATTTTAAAAAAATTCCAGTTAAACCATACATCTATCGGGATGGTAAGAATGTGCGGTGAGTAACTTCATGAGTGATACTAGAATCCTTTCAACCGAAATAAGCATGTCCGTGTGATTGTTTAACAGTTTTATTATTGAAACTCTTCCATCCATTTTGCAGGAACCCTTTACTTTAAGCATATTTTTCCACAGAACTCCTGTGGAGAAATATGCTTTCTATTACGGAAAAAGCAGCCAAAAATAAAAATCGCTTATTATTCTCAATGAGGAAAGAAACTCACTTTTCCGAAAGATTTCTTACTGATAAAAAATGAAAAACATTCAGTGCTACTAAAAGCCATGGAATGATAATAGCCAAGTAAAATTTTATAATGCAACAACTTTCACTTGTTACACAAGGCATACTGGATAAGTTTTAGACTGCACTGTGGTACAACATAAAGTTAAACCATTTACCAATTCAACGATATATTAAAAGCACCTCAAAACTTCCTAACAGAATATCCTGTCTTATGATGAACTCTAAACAAAATTGAACAAAGAACCTTGACATAATGTGTTATAACGATCAACATACGATTTGAGGAGTTATCGCTTTTTATACAAACAAGGCTTCAATTTCAACCCAATAGGTCGTTTCTGCATCACTTTACCAGTTTTGATAAATTCCAAAACAACAAAATAACCACCATCTTTTATCATCTATAAACTTTTTAATAAATGATAAGATAACCATCTGAATGTGTACTCCTTTCTATAATTCCGGACCAAAATCAACGAACCTTTCCAGTCATATCAAATCCCATTTTTGTTATGGCATGCACGAACTGTTTTACACTTATGAATCGACTGGCAACTTCGGCTATTTTCAAAAAACCACTGAAGATAAGCATAAATTGGGTCCAATAAAATTAAATTGATTAATTTCAAGAACTAATAAGTACAATACTTCCATGTCATTATTTAATAATATATGAAGTGATAACAAACCCTTTCTTCAATATTCGATTCGCTTCCCTTAAATATTCGTTCAGATTGGTTCCCATCAATGAAAGACAAAAAACAACAATATCCACTGATTCATTGTGTAGCGGGACCTATATAAAAACATACTTCAATTAGAAAAAAAAAAGGTTAAATTAAATGCACCGTTAAGTAAGTCTAATTCATGCTCAATGACTGAAGGCGTAATTGTAAAATCACTGCTGATAGTTAATCGTTCGATAGACAAAAT